TTCTATTCATTAAGAGAATGCAACTATATATCTATCCCAACCACTTTGAATACACAGATACAAAATGGACATTCATAGTTATACCCCAATTTTTTTTAAGTTCTGTTGTTGATATCATTCATTTTATCCACTGATAATCTGTTTTCAGTATTGTTGATTTCTGCTTTTGTTAGTCTTTCTTTCTGTTTTGTTTTGGGGTTTATTGGCCCTTTTTTCTAGTTCTTTTTTTGGTAATATTTTTCATATTGTCTCACTAGTGTGAGCAGATGAACAAGTAAACAAGATCCAAAATGTGCAATACATATTGTGAATTGGGAAGAAATCGTTTAAAAGAATAGATGAACTGTGATGGGAGAAAAGGGAAGGGAAAAAAGAGAAAAGGAAAAAAATATATGTAAACAGAAGAAACTTATACAAATAGTTTCTCTTAGTTCATTGAAAAGAAACTTTTGTACTAATATTGTGTGGTGCAGATATCATGCCTCTCTCCAGTACTCTAAATAACTAACTGCTAGGAAGACAACAACATGCAATGTATCAACTATTGTAACTTTCCTACCAAACTGTTTAGAAACTCAGTTTCATTTTTATATTTATCTTTTTTTCTCTTTAAAAATAAAAAATAAGTAAATAAAAAGAATAAGCAATAAAAATTAAACAGAATTTTAAAATTTTACTAGTTCCTACAGTTTCAAATGATACATTTCTCAATTTCTAACATTTCAATACTATGAATTTCTTTATACATGTTTGATTAGATGAATCCCTTGAATTTGTTGTCATTTACATTTTCATTTACTGCAAAATAATTTCTTTAAATTTCCATTCATTTTTTTCTTCAGTCCATGTTCTATTTAAATTTTTTGTTATGTATTTAGTGCAGGATCTACAGGGCCTCACTACACAGATCAGAATTGTAGTGATGCTTCTGTTTTCAGTCTCCCAAGAGCTGGGATTACAGGCACATGCCACTATATCTAGTGTCAATTGCTATCTCAGTGTGCACCAGGGGTGAGGCTGGCATGGCACTCCAGGGATCGAGCCCAGTCCCTACGCCTGCCTAAGTTCAGTCCATGTTCTATAGGCTATCATTATTTTAAAAGTGGTTATAGTTTCAGACTGCAATTATGTATATTATTTCTTTTCTTTTTGTGCTTACATAATTTTATTGTTATTCTTTTTGTATTTGTGTAAGTTTCCAGTGTACATTAAGCATGCATTACCTTACTAATTAGCAAAAAATATAGACTAACTTTACATACTGTAAGACATTAAGTTTTAAAAAGGGTTCCACTCAGTCTTCCAACATTTGTGCAAAACAGAATCCATATTTCATAATGTTGCCCACTGAAATTAATAGTCTAAGTGAGCTGCTCTGTATTACATAACTAATGCTAATAAGGACTAAAATGCAGACTTTCTGCCTAAAAGTTTATTTTCTGAAGAAGTTGGAAACAAAGACCTGAAAGGAAAGTTTGAATTAATCTTGCAGATAGTAGGAAAGAGCCATAGGTTTTTAAAGCAGTAAGCAACATAGCATACTTATCTTATTGTAGTTTAAATTTGGTTACTAGTGAGGTTAAATATCATTTCACATCCATTTCTTGTTTCTTTTTCTTCTTTGGATTGCCTGTTCATTTTCTTATATAACTTTACTACTGGAGTCATTGCTCTTCTGCTTGTTAATCTGAATGATTAAAAATATTTCAGTACCAATAGTTTTTTATTATTTATTAGTTGAAAGCATATTCTCTCCATTTCATGTGTGTGTGTTTTTCTTTTGATTCCAATGATCACAGAAACTTCTAAAGGAATGAGCAAAATTAATGCATTTGTTATGCTTTATTATGATCTTCTATGATAGAAAGCAAGAGATAGAAAAGAACAGCGTTAGAGGATAAACCATTTACCTTGGAAATTCAGCTTATCAATCGTTATTTGCTTAGTTATAGTGTGCTAGGACATATGATGCATATACAGAAAAGGTAAACAAAGCTACCTACTTTTCACGAAGCTGACTGTGAAGACATGTAAAATAGACAAGCAATATGGTCTATGCTTAAATGGAACATCAAACAAGATGAGCTGCTGGTTCCCAAAATTTGTCTTAAGAAAGGGAAATTTGTGGTTTGTGTTAATTTGGAGTCACTCAAGGGAGAGAAAGCCTGTAAGCTGAGAGGAGCAGGGACTGTGTTTAGAAATTTGTGCTCACTTTATCTTTAGCAGTTAGCATAGTGCTTGGCTAATGGAAGTTCTCAAGTATTTTTTCAGTGATTGAACGATGTTAACATGTGCAGGCAAAGCCAGTAACAGAGTTGCAATACAAACTTTGCAATCTATTGCTTATACACCACTGCCAAGAAGCTCTGAGAATGTTGTGACCCATACTCATTTTAGTCATTAGTTTGCATTTCCAAAGAAAAGGAACACAAATCATTAAGGCAAAGATTCATTATATGCTCCTTTATCTTACTATTGTACCAGACCAATAAAACTTACCCTTAACTATCAGATGAACCTGGATTTTCATCTTGGCTAATTGTACTTATGTGGCTTGATTTCCTTCCTCTATGAAGTAACTCAAGAGTAGTACCTATTTTATTGGCCTTTGTAAGGATAGAGTAAGCAGAGCATGTAAAACACCAAGCCAGTAGTAAGGATTCTATAAATGCTCTTTATCACTTTTCCCTTGGTGTGTATATAATAAGATGGATTGAATCCGTGATTGTCTTTGCATTTTTGTGACTTGGTCCATGATTTCTAACAGACATGTTCTCTATTTTTTCCTCCCAGATTCAGAGACATACTGTGTATTTCAAGACAAGAAGTACAGAGTGGGTGAGAGATGGCATCCTTACCTGGAACCTTATGGGTTGGTTTACTGTGTGAATTGCATCTGCTCAGAGGTACATTACCACATGGCATGCAATATCCTGGTTTGTTCCTCATCATGCTAAGAGATTTTCAATGCCTAGATACCCAGAGAACATGGGTGAAAAAACCCTGAAAGAAATTAAGAAGGAAGTTGTAAGGAAAAAGAAACATGCCCTGTAATTTTTCCTCTATTGCTGTTTCTCTCAGTTTTTATGGGATCTCTGGGTATTTGCTATGCTTTAGGGTAGTCATGTAGGACATGGTGGGTGAAGCTAAAGAGCTCAATATTCAGAAGAAGCTCAACATAGCGCTTAAATTGTAAGAGTGATTAGGTCATATTATAAATTAGTTCACTGTATTTTATCATCTATTATTGTTTCAGACAATAATTTTAATTAAGTATAAAGTTCAGGAAACTTGGCCCATATCTTGTAAGGATTAGAGTTCTCTTAGCTTTGCCTTGGCTTCTGTCCAGTAACTCAGAGAGTAGCTTAAATGCCATCTTTGCCATAGAAAAAGCAGGTTTTCCATCTTTTCATGGTTTTGACCCAAGACCACAACTGTGTTTTTTTTTCTTTAATAACCTTCTATTATAATATTAGGCCAGGGTTTCTCAACTTTTGCACTATTGACCTTTGGGGATAGGCTTTCTTTTTGTTAGAGGTGCTGTCCTATTCATTGTAGAGTATTTAGCAATATCACTGTCTTCTGTCCACTAGGTGACAGTGGCAATAACCACAGTTGAGACAGACAAAAGTGTTCACATATGTGGCTAAGTTTCCTTGGAGTCATAATCACTACTTGCAAAATACACCAGCAAGAACTGCTGAACTAAGCCAATAGGGAAGGGAAGCCTTTTACTAAACCTTGATAATTGAGAATTCTGAACATATAAAAAGAAGTTGTTAGACTAAATCTTAACTGAGTCCTTGTGTAAGAACTGCAACACCTCCCTGAAGCCCAGGCAGATCAGGACCACTCACATATAAGGTTGATGCTTTTGCCATTTTAGTAGAATTTGGGTCTTTCAGAATTTTAAACATGTGAACATTTAACCTTCAGGCAATATTGGCAGGTAGTAAGTGTCTATAAGACTTCAATATTAAGTCTGACCAATGTTCTGACCTTGGATTTGTCACCTATGAAACATGTTATATTGAACAGGATACCTCACCTAATTTGGATTCCTTCAGCTTCCTTTCTTTAAAATAAGATAATGATATTACCATTTCATCAGGTTGTGGTTTTGATTAAATTCACTAATCCATTTAAATCACTTAAAACATTGTTCGGTCATGGTAAATTTTGGAGATATGTTAGCTACTATTATCATCACTGTCATTGTTCTTATTGTGGTTTTCATTATTATTATTGGTCTCAAAACTCTAGGACACAGTTTACTGTACAGCATTAGAGATTCAGTTGACATTTCAGCCTGGAGATAGGTTTTCTGCTGTGTTTCAGTGATCTCTACTCCAAATGATACTGCTTAGTTCTGAAGCGTGTGATACATAAAGATACTCTATGCAGGATTGCAGGAATTTGTTCTAGAAAACACACAAGAAAAGAGAAAAGAGCCATGGTGAGGTGATTTCAATTTGGATAAAAGAGGACTGTCTCTTTAAGTGGTGAGGGCATGTATTAAGTAGAGCATCTAGACACTGATTAACTTCCTGGTATGGCATGATTTTGTCAGATTCTTCACCCAACACATTGGAGATGGACAGCTCACCCTTGGGGCTGAGGCTTTCATGTGCGCAGGGCAGCGAAAATGTTACTAGGATCCTAGTGACAACAGCTCACACACTAGACATCTTCCTTTCTCCATCCTCTTCCACAATCTCTCCCTCTACAATGGCTTGACAAGTATAAGTAGCCCTTGCCTCAAATGAATTATGAATGAGAAAATGTAAGTATAAAGTGTATTTGAAAAGTCTTCTATTGTTCTAACAATGGCCAAGAGCTGTCAGAGTAAGAATCACACAATTTTAAATCAGGAAGAGACTCAATTGCCCCACCCAGGTACTAGCTAATCAGCTCAATTCCCAACTCTAGCTTGTTTTAAGAAAAATTTTGGCTGAAAAGGAAACAAGGAGAGGAGCCAGTCTACCAGGCCATGGTAGTTACATGGATTCCATGGAGTTATATAGACTCCAGGACCCATATGCTAGGGAGATACCTTTACCCAGTTTTGGGTAACAGTTCAAGAGACCCATTATCCTTTTCCTTCTGTGACATTGGGCAGGTGATTATGAAATGAGACTAGGCTCTTGGAAATGGCATGCAGCTGGAACTAGGGAAAGGTAGAAATGTCACTGAGCCAGGCCAGAAGAAGCTTCCCACAGTTAAATAGGATGCTTTAAAACTGAAGCAACAATGATCCCTTAGAAAAATATGTCAGTAAGCCATCAAGGAACTAAGCAGAGGTGCTAATGATGAGGAGAGGAATGAAAATGCTGACTGCATTCAATTTCTTGGGAATGTGTTATTCACTGCCTGCGTGAGTCCCTGCATGACTGTTTCCCAAAATGGCATGATCCCAGTGACCTTTGAAAGACATTTATTTTTTTCTTGGTACTTTTCTCTTTTAGAATGGGAATGTGCTTTGCAGCCGAGTCAGATGTCCAAATCTTCATTGCCTCTCTCCTGTGCATGTTCCTCATCTGTGCTGCCCTCGCTGCCCAGGTAAACCAGTTTGCCTCTTTCTTTCCCAGCTCTGTTTCTTCTGTCTCCACTTTCACTTAACCTAACCCCCCTTCTTAGTTCCCCCCCCGTGGAACCTTCCAGACAGAAGTAACAATAGTATACTTTTAAGCAACTCAAACTGGGCCCTAACTATTAGGTTGTAATACCTTACTGGGTACCCACTAGCAAATTTTCACTGGATTTCTAATCTTTTGAAGGGACATATAAATTGAGGTAAGGGAATCACACAGATTATTTTCTGCCATAAACAGCCTCTTCCTGCCACAGCAGTGATCATCAGGGGAATGGTAGCATTGTGGCACGTGTCCTTTGTAATTAGTGCTACAATTCCATCCAAGAATAGCTTTAGAATGCTGGGGGGGTTGCTCATAAATAAAAGGAGTTAAACAAGTGAGTTTTATGACAGTATAAAGCTGCATTCCTGCTGAATAGTGCTGCCCTTGAGACTGCACAGTTACTATGTACACAGTGTTAAAAAGCAGTTCTAAGGGGCTCGGGAGCCAGGCAGAGACTGGGCTATTAGATCTACTTACACATTTTGTGGTTACGGTATTTTTCTGAGGCAGAGACTCACTCAGTGGTACTGTGTTCAAATCTGACTACAGTCTAGTTCCAATAGCAAAGGAATAGAATATGGAATGTTTCAAAAAATATGTGTGGGCTCAAAGGCAGTGCTAATCTGCCAAATAGAAACCTTGCCATCTTGGAAGTCAATTCTACTTCTCTCTGTGATGGAAATTTTTAAGTTATGGTACCTAAGTGGACTTTAGGAAGTCAATGAACCCTTTTAAACTGATCTCAATTGTTGGAGTAATTATGTATAGATGTAAATGTTTTCTGAGAATCCATAGCTTTATTGCTATTCCTTATTTGGTATTTCTGTTGATTCTCTTTTATGCTGTATACTACATTTATATATACATATTAATGAACAGAGGCATTTTACAGGTAGCAAATATGATACCATAACACAGGTTTATCATTCTCAGGACTGATGATTATACAGTGTATGTTTTAAGATGTGAAAAATTGCCTAGATGATATAAGACCAAATTAAAATTGTTTTGTAGAATAAAGTCCTGAATGAGGTTTATCAATTTTGTGTGTATTTGTTTTTACTTAAACTGAATTCTAAGGATTTGGTAAAATGAGGGGCTCTGGTAAACAAGCAATATTTCTGAAAACAGCTACTCTACAGAGCTTCTTTTTCTTTTTCTTTTTTTTTTTTCAGAGCTTTTTTTTTCAACCTACCAGGTAACCTCTCAAATAGATTTATAAAAACATTGTTTCAAAGATGTCTTCAAAAGTGGTCTAATTTTATAGGAACTTAACAAAAGCAGAATGTAGAGATTGATTTTCCATAGGTAGAAGAGTGAGGCATGACCCTGGCATACAGCATAGGGCGACAGAGCACAGAATGGAATGTGCCAATAAACTACTGCGTCTGCCTAGAATGCAACTGGTAAGTATCAGGTTTTGGAAGAAAGGAGAAATTATATGTCGGCAACAATTTAAGGAGGAAAAAACCTGTTAATATAAGACCCATCGGGGAGAAAATAAGAAATAATTTTTGATGGTGTATAAAAATAAGCTTTTCGTTTTTCTTCATTCTCTTGCAGTTCTCTTTGTTAGTTTGTTGTTTTTCTGCTTAATGATACAAGTTATTTCTGTGGATAATGGTACTAAAATTCTCATCCTTATATGTAATAATGTATTGTACATTTATTTATTTATTTATTTATTTTTTAATAACAGGGATCAAACTCAGGACCTTTTGCTTGCCAAGAAGTGCTTAAGCTGCTGAGCTATAACTCTGACTCCTCTTGGTTTTTATTTTTGAAAGATAATATAACTAAGCATAAAATTATAAGTGCAAGTCCATTTTTCTCTTCTTAATTTTAAAGAAAGAAAATAAAAACAATGATACATAAATTTCAAAACAAGATAATAGAAAATTAACTATGGTTATTGTATATTGTTACTCAGATTATAAGATACAGGCATGTAAAATTGATCAATGTGAGTTCAAACTGTTCCTTTCAATGTTTTAATAGAAATTAATAGTATTATTACTTTATTAGTAGTACAATTATCTTCATTTTTCATCAGCACTTTGAAAATGCCTGAATGGTTTGCTGACGTTGCTTTCTGGATAAGAAGTCAACTCTTCAGTTATGCTGCTCTTGTAAATCTTTTTGCTTTCCCTTCTAGCTTTTAAAGGTCTCTATTCTTCTTTGGTGTATAAAAAGAGATGCATAGATGTGTGATTTGTGTCTTTAATGTCCTCAGCATATTTTTTCAGACAAAGTACTTCAAGTTCTCTTCCATTTTAGTTATTAGTTTTGTTCTCATTTTCAACGTTACCTTTTTTTTTTTTCCGGGACCTGGGATTGAACTCAGGCCCTTGCACTTGCCAGGCAAGTGCTTATACTACTGAGCTATCTCCCCAGCCGCTCAACATTTTCTTTGAGATAGGTTTTGTTTCATGTATCTTTTATGTCTCTTAATGGCACCGTTATTTTTAACTTCTTGATATACTCTATATCCTCCAATTTGCAAAGTCTTTTCATCCACAGTACTTAGGCCATCAACTGGATTGTTTATTTCTCTTCTCTTACTTTACTATATATTTTTCCATATTCTGAAATCATTTTAAAAATATGTACATGGGGCCTGAGATGTAACTCAGTGGCACAGCACCTGCTTAGCAAGTGCAAGAACGTGAGCTCAATTCCCAATACAAAAAAAGAAAGAAAGAAGATACCAACATGTTGCTGTTTTGTAATCCCCATTTATTATTTCTTGAGATCTTAGTCTCCGTATTTCTTTAAAGTACAGTATTTGCAATTTATTTAATACGTACTTCAGGTTTTTCAACAATTATATTTTTGGAGGTAAATTCTGACCTCTGCCATGGTGCCTGAGAGATTTTCTTAGTACTGATATTTTCTTTGATTGCTAGTTTTTGCTTTAGACATTCATTATCCATAGAGATTTTTACCTTTCATGAGCCATTCCTTCGTTATATAAAGGGTGCTTCAGGCTTTGTGGCTTAACTATAAAGCAGGTTATGCATTTTTGTCTCAGTTTAAATGCCTTCTGCCTAGATTGTCTGTCTCTATCTCTGTTTCCTTTATGCACTGTTAGGTCCCTGACTGATGCCTCAACTACAACCGTGTTCTTTGGACATTTTAGGGAGTTATTTGGGGCAAAAAGAACTAAGCCAGCTCCTTTTCATATCCGATCCTGGTTCCCAGATGTGTTAGTCAGCTTTCTCTTGCTATGACAAAAATGCCTGAGAAAATCAAAGTAAGGAAGGAAAAATTTACTTTGGCTCAATGTTTCAGAAGTTTCTTGTAGGGCATTTCCCCCAATAACAACTTGCTTCCATTTGGCCTGTCATGCAAAAGTTTCCACTGCCTCTCAATACAATCACAGACTGGTACCCAAATGCTCAAATTATTATGTGTGTGCAGGACACTCCAGCTTCCCAGGAAACAGTTTACAGTCTGTAGTTCCTCTTTAGCTGTCTAGCATGAAATAACTGAATGTAGTTTTAGCTACCAATGTAGCATACTGCTTTAGCCCATATAATCCTGCACTTTTCTCTTGTGTTTTACTCCACAAAGAATTTCATTATGCTTTATAACTTTTCTCTCGCTTCACATGGTATTTGCTCTTCTTTGTTTGGAAAAGAGCATGGAGGTTTTTCATATCCACTCTGCCATAGTGAACCAGAATGTGACTACCTTTTCTTTCTTTCTATTGAGGATAAAACAAATCAAGTGGGTTTAAACCATAGTGGAAAAGTATGATCCCCACCATGCCATGCGGGCTCTGTCCCCAGGGTGCTCTGAGATGATGACTGAGATTGGGCGTGGTGGATTGTGCCTGTAATACCAGTGCTTGGGAGGCTGAAAAAGGAGGATCAGAGCTTGATCTGTGTAATGAGACCCTGTAAACCCTGTACTAAATACATAATTAAAAAAAAATCCCCCAGTCACTAAGTAGGACTTCATGTGGTATCTTTAACTAGAAATTTGTAAGAATAAAATTTTCTCTGCATCTTATACTATGAATAACTACTACAAAGACAATAATATGCAATGTATTAATTATTGTAACTGTCCTACTAACCTGTTTTGAAACTGTCTCATTGCTTTTCTTTCTCAATAAAATTAATATAAAACATTAGGTAGCTATCAGTTAGACACTAAACATATCCAAAGTTAAAAAAAAGAATGAAATTTTCTATCTTTCCTTTTGGGAGAATAAGTAGTAAAGGGAAGGGAACAATAAATAAATAAGTAAGTAAATAAAGACATAAATGACTTTTATACTGATTATGAACTTAAACATAAATCATGATATTATCTAAGAGGTTGTTTTTACTGTCATTCCTCTGAGAATTTGCTTTTTAGAATTAATAAATTTGGGTTCTCTTGGAAGCATTGCAGCATTCATGAGTTATTAAAAAGCTTTTATAAAATTGCCAAAATAACTGATTTGATTTGGGTACCAAAGACCTAATCCACAGTGTTTCCTTTCACTTAGGTGTGAAACATTGGTCCTATGTGTTTTTAAGAGGGAAAGTAACATTGCAGTTTTACCAATGGAGGAACCATCACACCAGTGTTTTAAGTTCCAGATAGTTTAAGAAAATGTCCTTTGTAGTGATTCAGTGTGCACTGTACTATAAGGAAAAGGCAAGAAGCCCCATACCCTTTTTTTTGTTAACAGTAGTTGGTTTGTGAGTGAGCTAGAAAATGCAGACATTTTTACCATAGTGTAATAGGTACTATTTTTAAGCTATTAAGTTTTGTTTTATCTATAAAATATGCTAACTTTTACAAACATTGTAAATGTGTTGATATATCACCAGAGTTTGAAGAAAAATTTGCAAAAGTTATAGCATAGGCAAAATATATAAATTGTGATTTTGATATTTTTAATATTTGCATATTATTAAAGTGCGAAAT